AAATTTTCATCTTGAACATTTTCTATTCCAAATTATCTTCACTTCACGGCAAAAACTGTTGCTTCAGAGAAGGTGGCGGCAGAAATATATATCTATTGTTCTGAGAAAAAAGCAAGATCTCAACATTTGCTTAAAGTGTTGTAGCAGTAAAAAGGTCCCCTGTGGCTATTACGCAGATTCACATTTTTTAAATATTTATTATTGATATTAAATTGTTAAAATTAAAAAACAGCAACATGAGGTTACCACATTTATAATGTCAGATGGATTACAATATTAGTAAAATCTTTAACATTTAATTTAGTCTGATAATGTCCAAACCTAGAAAGCACTTTATAAACGGTTCTTTTTTCTGCACAATCGCAAAGATTTCAAGTATACATTATTGTTGGAGAAGCACTGTAAAATAACGAAGTGAGCTGCATGCAGAGTATGACGTTGAGTGTGAGACCTGGTTGATCTGATAACCACGCCACGTTTTATTAGTTCATATGTCGCTCGTTCAGGAATTTAACTTGCCTTGAAAATTTTCCGGCGCCGAATCAATCTTCTGGCCTCCGCACTTCAATACTGCAGTCACGGCCGACACAATCTCCTGTTTAGCAAGTTGAAGCAAGTAGATCTACCTTCAAATTCGATTATTGGGAAATACGTTATATTTTGCACTGTGTTTTGGCCGCAAAGAAGGGACATCAGTTGTATCCCTTCGCGTCTCCGCCATCACATTCCCTTTCTCCGCCTGCTCCCCCACCCACATCCAGCAGCTTTCCCGCACTCCCCACTACTCCCCCTCCAGCGCGCACCCCTTTCACTGCGCGTTCACACTCCAAACTCCCTTTAACTGCCCCCGCCCTCTCGCTCCCGCAATGCCCCTGCCCACGCAACGGCCCGCGCACTGCCCCCGCGCACTGCCGCGCGCCCCGCCGCCAAGTGACGTCCGCCCCGCTTTCGGCGTCGCTGCCGCGCGCCAGCCCCGATTTCCACCCGCCTCGTGGAGGCTGCTCAAGAGCAAAGCTAATGAATTGAATTGCGCGTGTTTTGCGGACTTAGCGGTCGCTGCCAATCTGTGACGCGTCGCCGGGGAAGGGGTGGACGTGGGCGTGTGCGTGTGAGCGTGTGCGAGGGGCGCTGGAGGGGCGCTCTCGGCCGAGTGCAGGCGCGTGTTTGGCCGGCCGCAGGCGCAGGGTGGCCCACGGGCCCGCTTCCCCCTCCGCTTCCGCCTCTGCTTCCGCCTCCGCTTCCTCCGACTGCCCGCCACGTTTATCCTCAAGTTCTCGGTTCGGGCACCAGATGGAGCGTCCTCCCAAGAAATAATATTTTCAGAATTTTATTTAGGGAAAATTAAGTAACGTACGTTTGTAAATTTCAGAAGAAAGAATTCGCCGTTTCCCGGCGCACGATTACATCAAATTTATCTTCTTACGTAAGGGTGAGATTGTAAAAATACATAACATTGCACTAAAAAAGACGAGATTGCTGTTTCCGTCCGCGTCGTTGGTGAGGTCATTAGTCCCGAGAGTGTAGTGCGTGTTTTATCACAGGAGGTGGCTGTCATCTTTCCCGCTGGCGCCCACCTACACGTCGGATAGTGTGGCTTTGCCCAACCACGTATTTCCCTCCAGTAGGCACCGCCCCAGCCGGGACAAGCTCTAAGATCCGGACATGTGTGGTACTGCAGTGCATCTAAGTTTAAGTAAGGAGTGAGGATAGAACAAGGGACAGGAAAGAAAGATCACGTGCGTTCCGTGGCCGTTTATTAGGGTACTGTCCTGCATTCGCCTACCGATCAGAGCAGGCGGCCGCTAGAACTCTCCGGCACAACTCGACCTAACCAGCTCGTGTCGAAAATCCTGCCATCGTCGGAACACGAACCTACGACCTTCCGGTCAGAGGCGCTACACTGACACCAACTAATGTCCTCAGCCACCTAAGCCAATAAAAACGACGCGAAGTATAGAACAGATCATTAAAGTGCAAGGAAAATATGGACCAAACTTAATTTTCGAATTTAAATGGATGACAGAAGGCATCCACGTTTCTTTCGTGGTACCAGAAGATCTAGAAATAATAAAAAAGTGTTCCACTATATCATGTTAAAAATTTACTTTATTAACTTCATTTTATAAATTGTTTCGATTGACTTGCTCGCGCAATGTTTTTGTTTCATTGGTATGTTTTTGCTTCATTGATTAAAATTGTTGTTCGAATGAACCTGAATGGTAATTCCACTGGTATTGAGCCAACATTCCTCACATTTTTAAACCCCTAGAAAAATCAATGCGAGTTAGGTATTACAGATAATAAAAAAGCTTCGCGCTGCTTAAAATTCCCAATTAAAATGTTTGACAAATTAAACTGTATACGCCTCCGAAATGAAGGCCCTGCTTGAATCATCAAAAGGGCAAAAAGTAGCGTCATCTCTCCGGCATCTGGCGTGAAGCACTTCAGTGCTCCCTCAAGCAGAAAATGTGCATAATTCTCAAATACCTAAGATTACCTGCCTCCAAAATCTTCAGAAGTTCGTCTTAGGAGACAGTTACCCAATTGTAAAAGAGATTGGACTTCAAAGGGCCAAGTAGTAATAAAATTCGTGCCGCGAAGAACTTTGTGATCCAATAACGTCGTTTACGAAGTTGCGGGCCCCTGGTATTTCTCGGATTATCGAACGTCACTATGCGGTCATTCACTTGGGGACAAAATAAATATTTTATCAATTATTAGAAAAACAACTAATAATGTTCTTACCTTCACATCATGCGAGTACACGTTTTAAATTGGAATTAGTTTCAATATTGTTTATAAAGGAATTTCTCCAACGTTGCTGTCATTATAAATTTCAATTAAAAAATAATAATTACAGTTTTCATCCAGTATTTTTATCAACGTGCACAGAAAATGGTAACAACTTCTACACTCTGAATAAATTACGGAATTGACTCTTGCACAAAGCCACCAGGGCTTAAATGACCGTCTTTACAGCTTTCTGTCCTCTATGATTAATAGCCAACCCTCCCCTTTGCGCTCTTCAAATATCAGTACATGTTTGATTCAATCGGGCAGCATGTAACATCATAATTTCCGATTAATAGAAACATTTCTTCTCCCAAGAATTGTTTCCAGTTCACAAACTGAGCGAGAGGAAGGATGCGCGCCAGCATGACTGTGTGGCCTGTGTGTCTACGTGTAGAGGCGAACGTGAAAGACGCGAGTACATCACTTCACCGATTTATCCAAGCGTCGTTGATTAAAAAACGCGCATTGATTAATTGCGAAAGAGACGGTGGTCATCTACTTTCTCAGAACATTAGTGTGGAAGTAATTGCTGTGATCCACCTTAACCATGTTTACCCGTGAACTATACATTTGTGTACTAATTGCGGACAAAAAGACTCAGAGAAATCATATTCTGATTCTCCAACATGAAAAAATATCCACAAATGATTCCCATTTCTTTAGTTTAAAGTGGCATGCGAAATGAGATACAAATACACTGAGCGTCGAATTCTTCTGTACTCAAATATGGTATTTAATAATTTCCGATTGTTCCTTATTTTATTTATTATTATTCTAAAAAAATCCTCAATAGGAGTAATAAAGTTTTAAAATGTCTAGAAACTGCATCACTGTCAAGAATATTTTTGTTAAATTGGGAATCCGTTCTTCGAATGAACAGTGGCCTCTCCATACGGCTCCACGTGCGTGATCGGGGAAACCCAACAGATTCACTACACCAAACTCTGCTACCCTGCGTATTCGCTCAGGTGCGGAAATGAAGGGCCTGATTCTCCTTTTCCGGAGTTCCACAATGGCCTGAGGAAAGCCTCCAAGTTGAAAGAACAATAGGGGCAGCAGAAAACCCGTTTAGCTATATTTCGCGCTCTGACGGACCGGGAAATAAAAGAACAACTTTTCATCTCGCTCCCGCGATTCACAGGAAAGCGGCTTCAAGGCGAAAACTCAGAAATAGACATGTCTGCAATAACACGTGGTTTGAGATGAACTCCAATGTGCCGTTGCCGAAAATTTGGGTACATTGCTTTTCATACATTGGCTCTGAGCGGGTTTGGGAGTATTATACGTATGCCCGGAAAGAATACCCACGATTGTGAGGATGTGAAATGACGTGCTAAGAGGTAGAAGAGGATTGTAACTTTTTGAGCGATTTTGTACCACACATTGACTCTGCCACTTTTATTTGCTGGTTACGTAAATTACATTATTCAATTTGCCAGAAATTAAATTAAAGTATTTAAAAATATACTGGTAGGCATGCAGTATAGGAGATTGAAAGTCTCAAAATAAAGGGTGGTAAACAATGAATTACCCACTAATTACTTTGTAGTTTGTCTTACAAACCAATGTACGTAACTCATACAGCTAGTCGTTTCATATAATCAATTTAACACCAATTATCGTTTCCTCTTACCCATGAGGTTTGTTGACATGACAAGGTGGAACACCGACTTCTACTTCTGCTGATATCTGGGAAACGCAAGAGATATTCCCAATAGTAATATGTGCAATAATTACAGAATACTTGCTCCGTGTGATTCTAGGCGAGTGACCTGACAGTATGGTTTACATTTGCAGGTGGCCAAATATTAATAGCTTTAAAAAAATTAATTTCCAGTCTTAGAAGAAAAAAAACTTTCCAGACGTATAAAAAACTGGAAATAATTTCCGAAAGGCAGATTAATGAATGAATCTTTGAATATCTTTAAAGAAATGTTTTTCGTGGGAACGTAAAATAATTTATCTTCGCTACACGCTTATTAGTATATATTTGAAAGTCATTTCTGTACATTATCAACATTTCTAATATTGATTGATTGATTTTCAGCGGATTATGGATTGCGTTCCATGGTTTTCTTTCACAGTATAATTAATTAATTTACCTATTTAAATTATTTATATAATCATGTTAAACTATATTAGAAAAGTCTACAAATTTTTAAACCATTACTAAATCATTTCTACCTTATTTAATTTATTTCTTGTAGTCTTCGTTAACGGTCATCAAGTCATCCAAGGGGTTTTCCTACAAAATCTACAGGACTTGGCCTTCCGGAATGTGAATTCGTAGCGAGAACCACCACCTGTATCACACCCCGTTGGACAACACCCTGCAGTATATTATAAATTTTAAGTAAAGTAATGTCAAACCAAAAACCAACAAAATTCGGTAAGCGATATTTTCATTACATTATTCGCAATTTTGTTAATTGTGAAATTTAACATGATGTATGTTTACAGGGTAAATCATAATGAAGTACAGTGGATCGGAAAAACACTAGCGTCAAAGTATTAAAGTAACAATTGTGGCAATATTTAGGTTTCGTTTGATGAATAATAACACCTACCTTATTATATCCTATATCGTAATATACATAATATCCAGTTGTATTACCAGCTCTTATAATTTTCGAAACCTTTACAAGTGTTCATAAATTTTTACTTTCTATTTTTGTGTTTGGAATTATTTCATTGGGGGTACAAACTGGGGTACGTACTTCTATGGGGTATTTACTTATTAATATTTTAATCCGGTTAGAATAAGTAATAATTCCATTAGCTTAATAACGAAGAACAATTTAAAATCGAAGGAATGTACAACTATATTTCAGTTTAATGATAAATCTGCTTTTTTAATATTTTTTAGAAATACGTACTCCACTCACCCAACACATTTCGCATGCAACTACAACGCTTTCTCTCCTTCGAAAGCTGGAACACACACACACACGCCAAATCAATTCTAGGATACCACGAAATTACAATAGATCCATCGCCGTTGGATGTCATTTGCACTAGACGACGCGCTGCGTTATTGCTTGTTGGCTGATAAGTCCGCGCTAGTCTTATAGGCTTGGAAGGGGAGCGAGAAAGGGGGGGGGAACAGTGGGTGTGGCACGAACTTACGAGAGGCAGGGCGGGGAACTCGGGAGATGTGAGGTGTCGCAGCTATCCGAAGCGCTCAGGCCTCAGGTAGGAGAGAAGAGAGGAGAGCGCTGCTGCTGTGCCTGAGGTGAAAAATCTCGTAAGTGAAATTTAGTGTTTAGTATTTTACGCACTTTTCTCAATGATTTTCAGAAACCTAGAGTAACGTACGAGTGTTTCTAGTGATCCAGGTTTAAGACCCAGGTCGACCAATAAATCTTTAATTATATTCTAATTATCATTGTAATAGTTTTGTATTCTTGCTGTCAATTTGCCAAAGTTACTGCCAAAAATCATATTTATAATAAGTCATAACAATAATAGTAACAATAACAACTTCCGAATTAAGCTTTCTTGACCGCATTGTGACTATCTTCACTCTGACAAAAAATTCATATTATTTACGTCATATTTACCGAACCAGGAAGAATTATTCATGGAAACTAACAATAATTTGCGGTTTAAACTATTATTTCATTTAATTCTTTTTATTTTTAGTACAATTGGTAATTCAGAAATTTATTATTCGATAGTAGCAATGAGGATGGTAGCTTAAAAAGATTTATATAGAAAATAATTTTGTGATGAAACTACATAACAATATTATTATAATTAATAATAATAACAATAATATTAATAATAGTAATTTAAAAATTTCTATGCACGTTTTTGCATTTTCATGAAATAAAATTGAATCAACAATATTGGTGATAAATGATATATAGTTAGGTATTGTGGAAATAGGCCTTCAGGGGAACTCGCCACATTAAAAAAAGGAGTCAACGCGCCACTGGGACTACAGCATGTGCTGGAGAGTACTACTGTGGTGAGGAAACGTCCCAATCAAATCGCTTCCAAAAAATCAAGACTGAATCGGATGAGTTAGCGGCCACCAAACTAGACCTGTTACTTTCGCACATGTATATTTAAAAAAAACCCTTTGAATTTCACGCACATTAAATTAAAGAAATGTTCATAATATTTTTTTAAAAAATAGCTGCTGGAAACTTTATAAAATAATTAAAAGAAAATGTAGTTATTATTTCCGGAGACCCAGTACGAGTTAGTTACTTAAAGCTTAGAATGATACGTACCTAAATCGGGAAACTAACATTTTGCAACTCCACGTTCTCTATATTCAAAAAGTAACCGGCCTTTGTATTGGCAGGGAGATTAAGACGTTGATAGGCTGGTGTATCCAGGACGACTGCTTCTGCGAGACCAAAGGACGTCCAGGCGTTTGGCAAAGGGTGGGGATGGGAGCGATGTCTGGTGTGCGGGGCAATAAAACATCCGACCGCCCCCCCCCCCCGAATCC